ACAATTGTGTCTGATAGCTCCCCAGATCGTACATGAGCACTTTTGCTCCGAAGGAGCTATCGCCGACAATTTATCTGGGTCGTGTCGGATGGACCCCTATTGCTCAAGTTAGCAAGACGACGGTTTAAAACTGTGTCATCAAAAGGGGGTAAAAATCGTTTTGCACAGGACACGTCTGCACTAGTTCATGCTCTTTGTCTATCTATGTGCGATGTGCGATCTTAATAGACATGATCTTCAGTAGTGCACAGTGGTGCAGTTCTTTTTCTGATAGATGTTGTTTCTCTTTTTCCTAGGGTTTGCGAGTACTTTAATAGGCTCCTTCTCTTGATCTCCGAGGCAAGATCATTTTTTTATTCATAGATCAAACTAATCTAAGAAAACGTAGTGTTTTCTCGACTTAAATTCTTGATTCCACAACCCCACCTCCTCATTAGGACCAACAACAATTCGAATGAGCAAGGGTGTGGATAGCTAAATTTGTTGCCTTTTGGAGGCCATCAAATACATGATGTGTTGGGAAAACAAGGTTGAGTAGGTCCGGGGTCCTACGACAATACTATATGATGTCGTGAGAGAACAAGGTTGGGTTGGTCAGGGGTCCTATGACAATATATGATGTGTTGAGTAACTATCTCTTGCACTTCATCATCAAACCACCATGGAATACCGTAAGCTTCTAGAAATTTGAATCAAATGTCTAAGAAGATAGTAAGCTTCCGGCGACCGAAGCGAGAACCGCCTCACATATTGAAGCATATGTCTAGCAGTGTGTCCTCGGCTGAAGAACATAGCAATACGTCAGAAATGGAGGCCCGGCCGATCAAACTAAATAGTAGTAGTCGCAACTGGGGTGTTGAGACTTGAGAGATATCGTATTCAACTTCATGACCATTGTGTCATGCAGTTGAATTGATATATACCCTCCCGGAGAAGTCGGAGATACAAAACAATAGTATTGAAACACTTAGTTTTTTTACATGAGAGAATTTTTGATCTATTCATCTTGGATCATCGCTGTACAACGAACAACGTAAATAATAAAAAAATTATCCAGATCCGTAGACCAGTTAGCGACGACTACAAGCACTGAAGCAAGCCGAAGGCGCGACGCCCGTCATCTCCCCTACCCTACTAGAGCCGAGCAAATCTTGTTGTAGTAGATAGTCGGAAAGTCGTCGTGCTAAGGCCCCATAGGACCAACGCAGCCGAACAACAACCGCCGCCGATGAAGAGTAGTGTAGATTGGAAGGATCCAACCTGAATATACATAGACGTAGATGAACTACGACCAGAATAACCAAAGACAGATCCACCGGAGACACATATCCACACGCCCACAGACGATTCTAGACACATCATCGGGACAGGGGCACGGCGGGGAGAACCTTATTCCATCTTCAGGGAGCCGTCGTCGTCTCATCTTTCTGAGCAGAACACAAACCCTAATAAAATTCAAAGAAACACCTGTAAACAGAGCCCTCCCGCCTGCAAGGGCCGGGATCCACTACGCCTCCGTGGCCCTAGGGCACCGGAAACGAGGTGGACCGGCGGCGGCACCGGCGGGAGGTAGAAGAACCCAGTCTTTTCTAAGAGAAGGAGGCAGGGAAACAAATCAGACCACATCTGTTGGGAAATTAACCATGACGAAGAGAACAGACACATTGAAATCTCAATTCCATTATATATACATGGACGTCGGAGAAGCACCCGGGTTCGCCAAATCTTATTAACAAAATCTTAATGTACGAACTATCACTCCGCCATGGCCCTAGAATCTTCTAGAAGTCACACGCATGTAGGAGAATTAATTATGACACTATGCATATATACTCCTCAGTCTTCACACGAGCGGAATGCATTACCAATTGTGGCGGTATCTTCTAGAAGTCATGCGCGTGTAAGAGTAAGTATAATAAGGTGACATAAACAGGCTTTAAGTATTTAAATAATATATTTTTACTTAGTTGAAGGAGAGAGAAGAAGAGAGATAAGGAAAGCGATGAATTAATTATGACACTATGCATGTATACTCCTCAGTCTTCACTACGAGCAGAATGCATTACCAATTCTGGCGGTATCTTCTAGAAGTCACGCGCGTATAAGAATAAGTACAATAAGATGCCATAAACATGCTTTAAGTATTCTTTACTTAGTTAAAGGAGAGAGAAGAAGAGAGAGAAGGAAAGCGAGTTGTAGAAGTTAGAGCGTGATTGGTTTGATGCGAAAAATTGGCATGTCAACATTTGAGAAATGTCTTTCGCAAAACAAAACAAAAACATTTGACAAATGTCAAATATTGGCTAGTGTCTGGTTGGTTACCATGTTACATGCCAACCTCACAAGAAGTTGTTAATTTTTGGGAACTTTTGATATTGCCAATTATTGGCTTGCCAATTATTAGCAATTCCAAATCTTGGCATCAAACCAATTGTCCTCTAAGAGCCAGCTATAGCACGAGCCTAAAGACACTTTATGAGATTGTAAGGTGTGTAAACCATTAGTAAATAACATTCCCTTTCTGAATACAAGACATTTTGAAGATTTCAGTAAGGAGTACATACGGATATATATAGGCATATTTTAGAGTGTAAATTCACTCATCTTACTTCATATGTAGTCCATACTGAAATCTTTGAAAGGTCTTATATTTAGGAACGAAGTGAGTACATATATAAATTTTATTATTATACATGTCGGTTATTAGGTTGGCTATAGATGGCATGTCAGCTCTTTATAGCCGAGTGTTGCCTCTATTATTAACCATGCGTTAAGTAGGACAACAAATTATGGGCCAGCAAGCATACCAACATGGGGACAAAAATTGTCGCTTTCATCAAGCAGGCTGTCCTTGGTTTGTCCCCGTGCTCCAGCGGTTTCAGGCACAGTCGCACAGATTGGTACAACGAGCATTTGTGGACGGAATTAGATCACTGATGTGTGTAGATCAAGGCAACATGCAGACCAACAACACAGCACGCACGCCTATGCCACCGAACTACTAATACGGACATGGTCGTTGTTTTCCAGCTGGAGAGAGGAGCATGTCAACAACACTGCACGCGCGCCTGCGCCAGCTAACAAATATAAGGCCGTCCGTCGGCTTCATCAGGCAAAGCTTAGCCATAGCAATCATGTGTTGACTGCACGGATGGGTGCCTGCCTGCATGAGTGGGACGGTGATAGCTAGGGTTGGAATTCGAGCTGAGTCGAGCCTGCTCGGCTCGACTCGCTAGAGCTCGTTTCGTTAACGATCTAGCTCGATTCGATTCGTTATTATAACAAGCTCAAATCCAAAATTTGCTCGACTCGTATAACTCGCGAGCTGCCTCGTTCAGCTTGTTAAGCTCGTTAAAGATATGAACATAAAACCCTTAAATATTTAAAAAATAATTATGTATACTTTAAATATATATATATATCACTAAACAATAGTAATTTCCCTGCAACACATGAATTTCCTATGCGGCTCGGCCTTCAACGGCTAGGCCTTGTGTTGTGCGCCTGGGCCATAGGGTGCTGAGTGACTGATTTTTTTTGTATTGGGAGTGGCTGATCTTTTATACCGAGTCTAACAAGTTACACGAGCACACGAGTTTAACTTGGTCTATAAACGATCTTAAACTAAAGCTTGGCCCGACTCGTTATTCTTCGAGTTCGAGTCGATTCGAGCCGAGTCACGAGCTACTCGTTTAGCTCGCGAGCTTCGAACTACAAAAATACGAAATGAAAAAATACCAAAAAAAAATCTCAGAATTATTCAAAATGCAAAAAAACAAAAAAAATCATGAAATTTCAATTTTTCAAAAACCAGTCTCACTGGAGCTCGGCATCCAAAAGGGATTTTCGATTTAAGTAGTGATTTAAAATGTCATACATTTATTTACAGAGGTAGTACTTTGTAAGTATAACGTCTTACTCAATCGGAATTGTTAATTTTAACTAGTGTCGACTCGTTTGTCGAATGTATTTTATCAGGAACTCGTCAAACAAGAGAGTCCTGATAAAAGCACTCGGCAAAAATTCAACACTGGGCAAATCTGTCGTTTCCTTAGTGTTATTTAAACTCGGCAAAGATTTTCTTCTTTCTTTCCCTTTCTTTATTTTTATTTCATTCAATTTTTTTGCTTCCTTAATTCATCAAATGAAGCTTACTAGTTTCATCTCAAACTTAAACTTTTTGGGTGGTTCATGTGTATTTAAGTCATTTAATGCATTCTAGAGATTTAGTTAATATAATAAAACAGCAGGTGCATGAAAAATGGGCAAAATTGGGTTGAACATTGCTATTTTTGTTTTTTTCGAGATTAACATTCCTATTTGTGTTAATTAGTCTATGTTTAGGCCTTATCCAGTAAAAGAAAAGGAATTCCAAATATCTAAGTGTCAAGGCTCAACCCAAAACATGAAGGTTATTTTTTTTTAATTCCAAAAGTACAAACGAAGTGTGGAAAACAGTAAAGCATGAATGATGTCGTTAGAGCATTACTAGTAGAGCCCTCAAACCCTCAAACCCCTAAAAATAACTGCTTTTTAACAGTTTTCGCGGAAAAAACGCCGTAGACTAGAACCTCTAAACCCTCAAACCCGTAAAAAAATTTAGAGGTCCAACCCTCAAACCAGTTTGCAATC